GTCTGGGCGACCGAGTGAGACTCCAACTAAAAAAGAAAAAAGAAAACACAGCCTACAGGCCTTTCGTCCACATTCTCCAGCACTGTGGGGGAATGGGACCAGAATGCTAGTGTACCTGCAAAAAGTGGTGGAAACAGCGTAGAGCAGGCAAGTGTTTAAGACACTACTTCAGGGAAACATTTAGAATTAAGGCATTGAGGTTTATAGAAGAGAGTTAAATTCAGAGCAGTTTATCTAGACCAGTTATCAGGAACTTTCTGAACTTAACATTTGTCTTTTGTTTATATAAGGGTAGAATAGATTTAAGATTTTAATTGTCAGAGGAATAACATGTTATTTGTGTTATTTATTGTCATCATTGGTTTTATTTATGGCCATAAAACCAACTTGTCCAAGAGAAAAAAGTATGATCTAGTGGGATTCTTGACAATTTTTAGACAACAGGATGGGCCTGTTGCAAACTGGGAATATATATAAAGCATATGTATATATGTTTAAAGAACATATAATTTAGACGCAAAATAATTAAAAACACTGCAAGCCAAACAAGAAATGTGAAACTCCCATTATCCTATCTTTCTTGAAGCAGTGGGAGCTACTGAAGATGTTTCAGGAAGTAGTTATCTGACAGGGGTTGTTTTAGAATTTCTACGGATGATTCTTTGTGATTGTGACTGCTTTATTGTAATATTCTTTAAGGTTTCCCATTATTTCTAATATGTCTGTTTCAGGTAGTTGCTACATTGCCTGATGGTGTTCAGCCTGGGCCCGATTTTTATGGATTGCCATGGAAACCTGTACTTATCACTGCCTTCTTGGGAATCGTTTCATTTGCTGTTTTCTTCTGGAGAACTATCCTTGTTGTGAGTAAATTAAATTAATGTGTATGTTCAAGGATTTTTTAAATCATTGGCTTTCTTATTTGTTCCTTTTTCAGTTACTAACATGAACACAAATTAATGCTAATAATTCAAGCTAACCTTATAAAATAATTTAGTGTAATCTTTTTGTTAATAAAAACTTAAGTAAGCAAGACAACGTATATATCATCTCAATGGGAATCCTTCAATTTATAAATCCCTTATATCTAAACCTAAAGTTTAAAAAGAGTGGATTCATCTATACAGAAGGGGAAAAGGTGAAAACATTTTATATTTCCCACTCTTGTTTTTCACATTTAAAAAAATCCTCACACCTGTTTTGACTTTCACAAGGTTCTGTAGGCTCTCTGTCTTAACTGCTAGTCCTCAGCCTCAGCATTTGACTTTTGGAAACTTGGTCCCTATCTACCTGTTAGTTCGGGTGGAAGGGGGCAAAAGAAGCTTAGTCTCTCATTTACAAGGCTGTGACATTAGAGAATTAAGTCATTTCTGGCCGGGTATGATGGTTCACTTCTGTAAACCCAGCACTTCAGGAGGCCAAGGTAGTAGGATCACTTGAGCCTAGGAGTTTGAGACCAGCCTGGGCAACATAGCAAGACTTTGTCACTTTTTGCTCTATTTAAATTTATAATATTATAAATCTATTTTTTAAAAGGAGCAGTCATTTATTTCCATGTTGGAATTTTCTGAATGCATTTTCCTATAATAACATTATTAAAAGTGGTGTTTTAGCCGGGCTCGGTGGCTCAGCCTGTAATCCCGCGCCTTTGGGAGGCTGAGGTGAGTGGATTGCCTGAGCCGGCGGGTTCAAGACCCGCCAGGGCAGCGAGACCTCATCTCTACAATAAATCAAAAAATTAGCTGGGCGTGGTAGCATGAGCCTGTAATTCCGGCTACTTGGAAGGCTGAGGCGGAAGGATCGCCAGAGCCCAGCAGGTCGAGGTTGCGGTGGCCGGGAGCGGCCACTGCACTCCAGTCTGGGCAACAGAGTGAGACTCCAACTCAAAAAAAAAAAAAAGTGGTGTTTAGATACTATAATGATATTGTGTACTATGAATGATTTCTGGCTGGTTTGAGTATCTTATCACCATTTATAGCATTTGAAAGGAGAAATATGTTCTGGGTTACAAAGAAATTTAGTAATAATCTTTTTTAAAACATAGTTACTGCTTAAATTTCATTATCCTATGATTTAGTGATGTCTTTAGGGGATGATTCGAGTTTTGCCCTTTCGGGAAGATGTTAGCTGTCATTTCTCTTGTTACTTGTGTATTTTTCTCTATTGGTGTTCCCTTCCCTTTCAGATGTATGAGCACTATTTTTAGTGGTCTAGGAAAATCAAATGACCTAGCTTATTAGAATTATTTCTGAATTCAGCCAATAGTCAGCCTTGGATAGGATTTCTAAGATGTTTTCTGGTGAGTGAAAAAGGAATATCTTAGTACCTAAAGATTATGCCTTTACTTTTTGAACAGTCATTGTTTCTAGACCTCATTCTGGCTATTTGGGGTTGTCAAATAAATGATTTTGAGTAAATAAAGCATTCAACTTCTATGATTGTTATGAAAATACTAGTCATTTCTATTATTAAAATTGTGTTCACTTCTTAAGATTGGTGTTCATTAAATAAGTATATAAACATATGTTTGGCTGCAAAAATAAGGTATTTACTTTAATGACTATGAAGCACCACTACCAATTACATTTGAAATACTTTGTAACTTTTTCTTATTTTTTAATTCTGTGGATTCATTATGTTGGACCAAACTAATTAAACTCACTTGGTTACTATTTTGACTGTTGAATTAGAAGCAATATATTTCTGTTAATAAAATGTTTAATATCAAATTTAATTTTATTTCTCTCTTTCAGGTAAAGAATAGAGTATATCAAGGTAAATTTTTTGAACTTTTAAAAAATTTGTACTATTCCCTCTGTATTGGTGTTTGACATGGGTCTTATGTAAACTAGAAATAGATATAATGACTTCTGATGCCTGACTGACTTATAACTTCTAAAAATTTTACTCTTCCTAGGTTGCTACCTTGATAGAATAGTGATGCATAAGAGATGAGGAAGAACAAATTGTGAGAGTAGACAGAAGATAATTCGTTTAATTGACTTTGAATGTTGATGTAATGCAGATTTAGTACATGTGAACACTGTTCCTGTGCTGATAATTTAGCCAATGCATTAAGTATTTAGGTAGATAATTTAAGGAATTGAAGTGTAAATCAATATGTTTGTGTATTTTGCCCACTTCTCTTTGCAAATAACATATATTTGAAGTGATCCCTTTTTCTGAGAAGAAAGGTGCTTCATGCAGGGAGGAATATTGAGCTATGACATTTTACTATATGTCTCATCTTTGAACTAAATCTAAATTGGAATTTCATTGAAATAAGTATTTATTTTTTTTTAATTTTAAGACTATTTTTACATCCCTATTGCTATTAATTATAGATAGCTTTTTAATGCCACAGTAATTATGCTAATTTTTTCTCATTGTGCCAGATAATATCTTTGCTGCTGACACATTGGGTATTTCATTTTCATTTAGTGATCATAAAAACCTTATGTATTTATGTATTTTTTTCATTTTTTTAGTCACTGAACAACAAATTTCTGAGAAGTTGAAGACGATCAAGAAAGAAAATGCAGAACTTGTACAAAAATTGTTGAATTATGAAAAGAAGGTATAATTATTTTTTCAGCTTTTATCCCCATGGTTCCAGCTTGAATTATTTTCACCTGTCTTATAGTTCAGCTATTATGGTATTTTAAAATCATATATTCTTATTCTATTACTTCCTCAAGCCATCCAAATCTTAAGCAGTTAGCATATGTATAAAGTTCTACTTTGTGAGGAGTCATCCACTTGAAAATAAGTTTTGGTAGCACTATAATTTATATTTCTGAATTCTGACTGCTTTATGTAGATCAAGGAATCAAAGAAACATGTTCAAGATACCAAGAAACAAAATATGATTCTCTCTGATGAAGCAATTACATATAAGGTAAAAATTACTTTTTGGGATTACATTCTTTTTGTTTTTTGAGTTAGGGGTCTCACTCTGTCACCCAGGCTGGAGTGCAGTGGCACCATCACGAATCACCACAGTCTATGCCTCCTGGGCTCAGGTGATACTTCTGCCTCAGCCTCCCAAGTAGCTGGGACTACAGGTGTGTGCCACCACTCCTGAATAATTTTTTGATTTTTTTATGTAGACATGGTCTCGCTACATTGCCTAGCCTGGTCTCAAACTCCTAGGCTCAAGCAGTCCTCCTGTGTTGGCCTCCCAAAGTATTGGGATTACAGGCACGAGCCCCTGCACCCAACCTCTTTTTGGGATTACATTCTAAAAACAAAAGTTAAAATATTGAGTATTACTAATCTTAATACCTTTTTTTGTAGGATAAGATTAAGAAACTTGAAGAAACTAAAGAAGTTCTGGATGAGAGAGCTAAACGTCTTCATGTTATGTTAGAATCTGAGCGAGAACGGAATGTCAAGAATCAGGACTTGGTAAGTGTTTTGCTGTAAAATGTTAACTATAATTTAGCTTTTGAATATTTTATAATTGAGTTGAACTCTGCATTTTTCATACTGTTAACTAAAGAAGGAATGGGAGTCAGGAAAGTTGAACATACTTCTGTCCATTTTTGTTAACTAATACAAGTCATTCTTAGGGACTTGGGGAGTATTTTTGTCCTCAACTCTGGATAATTTTCTTGCTGCTTGGCTCTGCCCTCTGAAACATGAAGAGCAACTAAGAAACTGTAAACTCAGTTGAACAGTCCTTATACTTTGTTTTGCAAAGTTCTTTTTTTAAATAAACTTTAAACTTTAGTATAGTTTTAGAATTACATAAAAGTTGCAAAGATAGTAGAGAGGGTTCTCATAAATCCCACGCTCAGTCAATCTCAGTCACCTTGCTCACTGAGGTAGTTTTTGTCAGGTTTCTCCACTGTGAAATTGTCCTTTTTTTATCCTTTGCATATTTTATTCTTTGAAAGAAAATTACCATGTACAGCCTACAGTTAAAGAGTGAAAAGCTGTGCTCCACCTCTTTGAGTAGCCAATATCTTCATAAATTATTTGGAACCCTTCTCTTTGTTAGCTTTGTCTGTTCTTCCTCTAATTCTATGATATTTAACTCAGGCAAGAGAATTCTTAAAGTGACTTTGGGAGAAAAAGGTTATTGATTTGAAATGGTTTACTTGAAAGTTTATTCATTTTCTTTGCTTTCACCTTTTTGTCTGGCCATCTACTATATTATCTCCCAAAAAAGAAGGTTGTGGATGCCAGGAAATACTTATGCCTTCAGTTATTTTCCCTTATCTCTTTTAGTTCCTGATTTTTCCCCTAGACCTAAACTGGATCATCGGCTTTGACCTGAAACATAGAGGATGACTCTGGGATATTTTCTGTTAATGTTTCTTCTTTCTGGCATATATCCCAATGTTTCTACTGCAGTCCTAATACATGTGTTGTGTTCGGTGTTCTGTTTTCACATGGCAGATATTGGAAAAAAAGAAATCTATAGAGAAGTTAAAGGATGTTATTTCAATGAATGCCTCAGAATTTTCAGAGGTAAGTCTGCTTACATTTCTTGCAGGATATTAATATTGTGTCTTTGTTAAAGGGCAAACATTTGATGTGTGCTAAAATACGCAATATGAAATCTATGTTGTCTAATTGGGAAAGTATCACAACTTTTTTTCCCCTCTGGAATTAAATCACTAATAAGTGTTTTACATTAGGTTCAAATTGCACTTAATGAAGCCAAGCTTAGTGAAGAGAAGGTGAAGTCTGAATGCCATCGAGTTCAAGAAGAAAACGCTAGGCTTAAGAAGAAGAAAGAGCAGGTAAAGAAAAATTCATGCCCTACGTCATGCAAAATAGAGAACCAGCCAGGCTTGGTGGCTCAGCCTGTAATCCCGCGCCTTTGGGAGGCTGAGGTGAGTGGATTGCCTGAGCCCGCGGGTTCGAGACCCGTCTGGGCAGCGAGACCTCATCTCTACAATAAATCAAAAAATCAGCCGGGCGTGGTAGCATGCACCTGTAATTCCGGCTACTTGGAAGACTGAGGTGGAAGGATCGCCGGAGTCCAGCAGGTCGAGGCTGCGGTGGCTGGGAGCAGCCACTGCTCTCCAGTCTGGGCGACAGAGTGAGACTCCAACTCAAAAAAAAAAAAAAAAATAGAGAACCCAGTATCATTACCTCATGAGTATCTTTTCTCAGATCTATTAAGGTAATGAAATGTGCATGCAAGATTATTTTCTTAAATATTTAGAGTTTAAACTATGTGCCCCAAATTGAATGTTCTCTATGTGTTCTGGATTTTCTGGTCTTCTTTTTCTAGCTAACACTAACCAATTACCACTAATTTGGGCAGCTTCAAGGGGGCAATGCATTGATCATTTAGACCTAAGTGTTAGGCTTTTGTAACCTTCCTTTGAGCAGTTACTGCTTCGGTAGCCTAGAGAAGGTTACCATGAGTCAGGACTTGGGAGTCAGTAAGATGTGCCCCTTCATACCTAAATGGAAGTAAATTACTTGACTTGGTTGCAATTTTTATCATAAGGATGCAGTAAACTAGAGCAATTTCCTTGACAGCTGTGACCTGTCTCCCTTAGCCCATCGTGACAGGCCAAAGAGGGTCAAGAGGCCAAAGAATTACTGCCCTGATTCATTCACATGGTCCTAATGTCTCCAATGCAAAAGTCCTAACATGTGGAAATTATGTATTTTGACTTTTCAGTTGCAGCAGGAAATTGAAGACTGGAGTAAATCACATGCTGAGCTTAGTGAGCAAATCAAATCATTTGAGAATTCTCAGAAAGATTTGGAAATAGCTCTTACTCACAAAGATGATAATATCAATGTAAGTTCATTCTCATGAATACATACTTAATTCTCATGAAATCTGCTGAATTAAAATTGAGAGGATCTTAACAATACCCTTTCACTTCCTTTCTAGGCTTTGACTAATTGTATTACACAGCTGAATCGGTTAGAGTGTGAATCTGAATTTGAGGGTCAAAATAAAGGAGGAAATGAGTTGGATGAATTAGCAAATGGAGAAGTGGGAGGTAAGATCAGTCTCAGGGAGGTTGGATTCCTTTTTGCCTTCCTGTCTGATGCTTTTCAGATGGTCGAATTTCCTAGTTCTAAGTCTTAGAGTTGTAGACACATATCATTTGATTTGTATATATGCCTCTGCATTGGGCAAAGGTGGGTTGCCTGGAGTGTGGTGTAACAATAGGCATGCAAAAAACACTGATTTTGTTTTCCATCCTATTAAGAACTAGATGGCACTGGAGCTGCACTGGTCATATTGTATACCTCTAAGTAGAAGAAGCTTATTTCTGAATTTCATGGAGATTATATTTTATTACTCATCATCTCTATAGTTCTGCTTGTTTGTTTGTTGAGTCGTACTCTGTAGCCCAGGCTTGAGTGGAGTTGCTTGATCATAGCTAACTGTAACCTTGAATTCCTGGGCTCAAGTGATCTACTTCTTCACCCTCTTGGGTAGATGGGACTGTAAGTGTGCTACCATGCCTGGCTAATTTTTTGAATTTATTTTTGTCAAGACTAGGTCTCACTATGTTGCCCAAGCTGGTCTCGAACTCTTGGCTTCAAGCAGTCCTCTTGCCTTGGTCTTCCAAAGCAGTGGGATTATAGGCGTGAGCCACTGTGCCAGCCTTAGCTCTGTGGCTTTAAAGCCTACTACTAGTTTCAAGAGTACTGAGGTGGTTGGAGTCATAAACTAAGATCATGAGAGTGGAGGCTAGAGAGTAGCAGTGTTTACTGATAATAAAAATGTTTCTAGACACCGTCTCAGTTTGGATATTGCTTGCCTAAGGGATGTTTTCAACCATATGTGGTATCAGATTCTGGGGGAGAACAGAAATGAATCTTTATTAAGTAAGACACTTGCCTAGGTGGAGATAGATCTGAGAGGAAAAAAAGAGATTTATTTCACATATTACTTCTTGCTCAAGAATGGCGTGGATAACATTTTATTGTACAACTAGAAATTCACTTTTTTAAATCTAAGTTTGCAGTTCTCTTAAAAGTCAGTTCTGTTCTGTTACTGGTTTTGTTTTTTCTTTGAGTGTTTGAACATGAGTGATTGTTTAGTTTTTGAGAAATCAAAAAAATAGAGTTAAAAAGTTAGGGAAGAAAAAGCAATGAAAGCCTTTTGTTTTTTAGGTAACCAGAATGAGAAGATGAAAAATCAAATTAAGCAGATGATGGATGTCTCTCGGGTATAATCCTTTTTTTAAAGTTCCATAAGTGCCTGTGAATTCTTACTGTGCCTCACGTTTAAGAATACTTCTCTCTTCTGCAATTTTTAGACACAAACTGCAATATCAGTAGTTGAAGAAGACTTAAAACTTTTACAGTATAAACTAAGAGCCTCGATGTCCACTAAATGTGACCTCGAAGGTAAGTTGTTTCTTGAGAATAAATTGCCACATATTGGAAAGATATAAAATTACCTTGGGAAGATAAAGAATGACTTCTTGCTTTCATACTTCTCACTACTTCAGCACTGCCCCTCGGTTACATTCTCAAGTCCTTGTGTACATACATAGAGCTCAAATGTTTTATCCTTTATAGACCAAATAAAGAAACTAGAAGATGACCGCAATTCACTGCAGTCTGCTAAAGCTGGACTGGAAGATGAATGCAAAACTCTGAGGCAGAAAGTGGAGATTCTGAATGAACTCTATCAGCAGAAGGAGATGGCTCTGCAAAAGTAAGATTTCTATTGTTCATTTTAATATTGTCATGTGATTAGATGTATCTACTAATACAGATAATTTTATCTTTTTTAAGGATTATTTACATTTTTTCCATCTGTAATTGGTATAAACTTATATTCCTTTCTACTTCGTTTTCCTTAGCTTATCTTTTTCTTTCCATTCTAACGAGTTATCAGAAATTGTTACCAGTAATTCTTTTGAAGGGGAGTGGTATACTGATACTAACAGTTACTACTGTGAAAGTGCTTGTTTTTTGAAGATTCACACCCTTTTTATGACTCCACCACTTATTTCACTTTCCTTTCCTTATGGTCTGTTATGTAATTCTGATTTGCCTAACATTTGTTCTACTAACTCTTAATATACTCTTTAAAAATTCTGACTTATTTGTATGGCATGACTTTTACTAGAATAAAAGCTTTAGAAGAAATATGTAGTTATTGAAGGTATCATAAGTTTTGGACTTGATATAATCAAATATTTAAGCAGAACATAACATAATGTAATTGTGGCAAGGATGTTAGGAGTTTTGCATATAGAAATACTTGTTTGGTGTTTATATTTAGGTATTAATTTTGAAATACATATTTCAAATTTTGAGCTAGGTATTTTTTGAAAGACACGTTTTTGTACTCATTGTTTTAAGTTCTTTCTCCACAAAAATATCTGAATTATCTAAAACTAGATTGTCTGTGGCAGTTGCTATTTGTGTCTACTTTTATACTTGGCTCTTCAGTGTACTGTAAGATAAGCCTATAAAAGGCCTATCTTGCTAAGCAGATTTAATCTTTTTTAAATGCTTAGACTGCTAATGCCTGGTACCATTAAATATTGAAATCATACCATTAACTTTTTCTCTAATTTTTTGCTCACCAAACAACCAGTTTAGATTTTTCTGAATTTTGTTCAGGCCAGCTCTAAATGTGTGGCCTGCTTCAGAGAAACATTTCTCATTTCATTACTTTTTTTTAACAGAGTATGTCTCTGTCTCCAAATAGTAATCTGAATTACCTAAATGGCAACTGTTTTGCTTCCTGATACAGTCAATGTGGTATTATTTTATTCAACTCCTCCAGCATCCATTCAGTCACCATGTCTGGTGGGTATTTTGCTGTCCATCTCAAAAGCCGCTGTGTTAGTTCAAGCCCAGATGATATCATCTTTTCTGCTAGTCCCCTATTCATCTATCTTAGTCATCCTTTCTTATACAACTTCTTCCAAACTCCTGATTCATTTTCTGTACAGCTGCTAGAGTGAATTTTCTAAAATGCAACCTCTCTAGGTCATTATGTGCTTAAAATCTATTCAGGATGCTCCCTCCCTCCAGGATCAATTCCAGACTCCTTAGCAGGTACAGAGGCCACTTCCCCTCAGCTGCTTCTTCACGTGCATTTCCTGTAGCTTTTTCTGATGCATCCTGAACTACAGCCACACTGAACACAGCTCCCCCATGCCACTTGAAGCTTCTTTGTCTTTATGTATGTTTTCTCTGCAGTGAAAATGTCCTTTTACATTGTTTCTACCTTCCAATCTCCTGACGACTCAAATGTTTATGCTTCTTAAAATCTTTTCTGGAGTGAGTTGTGGCATAAATAGATAGCCATAGAGACTGGGTGAGTAACCATTTTTTTCTTTATAACTCTGAAATATATATTTGGATTTAAATTTACATATTGGTATCTGCTCTGTATATAATGGCCTGATCTATGTTCCTTTTTGTCTTTTGAATTGTTTAAGTATTCTTAATTATCCTGCTCTTCTCTGTTTAAGACTGGTAGTTTTAAGTTGTTTTATTCATCATCTTATGATAATTGCCTTAAAGACCACAGCATGTACCCTGAACTTATTTTTAAAAGTCTGATGTAAATTATAGATTTATCTCTTTCTGAACTTTAATTCCCTCTTGTCTTAGATGCTGTCGGTAATGCATTTGAATGCTCTGTACAGCTCAAATTCTGTGTTTTAATGAGCTTTCATGGTGCTATCCTGCTGATAGTCATTCAGTTTATATACATATTTATAGTTTCTCTAGTTCTTCATTCTCTTGCATCTTTGGTCCTCCTTTGCGATCATTTTTATTCTACTTTTACATACTTTAGTGACAGATATGATTAGTTTATTTTCATATAAAAATGTCCTATTTTTACTCCATTTTAAAAGGATCTTTCTGCTGGCTACAGAATTGTGATAGTTTAATTTCAGCACCTTAAAAGATACCAGCTGATTGTCTTCTGTTTTAAACTTTCTTTGAGGAATCTATTATTCTTATTTTCTCTTTTTCAAATGTCTCATGCCTGCCCTAGCTGCCTTTTGTTTTCTTTCTGTTTTTTTCAGGAGTTTTATTGGAAGGTGCCTAAGTATAGGGTTTTTTTCTTTTGCATTTATGCTGCCTGAGATTATAAATATCTCTTGAATTTTGGGGTCCTTTTTCACATATTAATTCTACTTCATTCTCTCTTTTCCTGAGATTCCAATTACATATGTTAGACTCCTTCCCTTATCTTTCCTGCGTTCTAAATTTAGTTCATTCTGGATGTTTTCTTCTGACCTATCTTCCACTATGCTAAAATCTTGCTTCAGTTGTCAAGTCTGCCGCTAAATTCATTCATTGGGATCTTGGTTCCAGTTACTACTTTTCAGATTTATAGTTTCTAATCTGCTAAAATTCGTAATCTTGACTTTTACTTCCTTGAATATGTAAGGTACAGCTATTTTAATATCTGTGTGATAATCCTATTATGTGGATCACTTATGGATCTGTTTCTCTTGTCTTTTAGATTTTGATCACATTGTCTTGTGGAATGCCTGATCAGTTTTGATTGAGTGGGAAACATTGTATATGAAAACTATGCAGGAAACTGGAGGCCTAGGATGGTGTTATCTTCCTGCAGAAAAGATTTGAGGTTACTCTACTCCTAAAGATGATCATTGCTTAAATCTAGTTAACAACTAAGATAATTCAGAAATGGCTTGGTCCCTTCAAAGGACATTGTATGTCCCCTGCTCGGTACTCCAAGTGTGCAACTCTTTCTAGCCTCAACCCAAAGCCTATGACTTCTACTAGGTGTCTCCCTCATTGGCAGCCCTGAACTCCAAATCCAAGGATCTGTTGAAAGCTATGTTTAGCCTCCTCATATCTTTGCACTGTCTTCAATACATGGGTGAACCTAGGGGAAAGTGGCTTAAAATGCCAGGCTTATTTATAATTCTGTGATTCCTTTTCCTACTGGACTTTGGCCACTTTATATATATCTTCACTGCCTTATTAACTGTATGATGCCTTCAAGCAAATTCTTTACTTTTTTGTTCAGATGTTCTTACTATTTTCAGTGTTCTCAGACTAACTCATCCATTATTGCAAGCAAAATTCTCACTAAGCTTTCTGTACGACTTGCTTTGTTTTTCACATCCCTTTCTAAGTCAGAGTCTGGGAGGAATTATTCTTTTAGTACTTGCATCTTTTATACATTCAACTGTGTACTCCTTTAGTGTAGGGATGGTATTCTATCCATACTTTTATCTTAGCATCTTATAAGGTAACTAGTGTATTATAACTGCTCATAAAATATTTGCTGAAGTTTTGAATAAGCAGTTTTTATAAAAATATATATAAACCTTTTTCTCTTTGTTGCTAATAAACCTTTTTACTATAACTCTTCTAATTTTGTTTCTGATTCATAGGAAATTAAGTTTCAAGTATCTTTTGCACTAGAACATAAGTAAAGAAGTATGAGGGTAACCAGAAAATATTTTAAATCATTAAATTAGCTACTTTTACAGTCTGTGTTATAGTAGATTGATATTTTGAGCTTGATGGTTATCAGGTTAAAACTAGTTTCCATCTTGATTATGAGACAGTTTGGATTCTTTTACTGCTCAATAGACATTTGCCAGTACTCAGATTTCCCTCTTAATCATGTTTCCATTGAAATAGGTAGGAGTTCCATATCTAAAGTGTGAAAATATTCTGTGGTTAACTGTACCATTAGAAGACATGTTCTAAAAGGCTCTTTCTTTGGCTGACTGTCTGTATCATGGTACCAGTCCTGGACTGAGAAACAGTCTAAAAATAAGAAAATTAATTAGTAGTCTTTCCGTGGTTAGAAATAAGGGAAGGAATTATCCCCTGCATTATCCTAATGGAGCTTAATTGTGTAAAGTTGCTTAGTCCTGGCTTTCCACATTGAAGTGAACTTTTATCATTCCAAGCACAAGAGACTTGCCCATGGGGCACATAGTGGTTTTTACATTTACTAGTGAGTAGAGAATTATGAGAAGTTAGAAAATGCAGGTGGTTTGCCAGCAGGTCAGAGTTTGATTTTTATCCCCAAATGGCTGTTTGAATTCCTTCCTATGACCTTGTGCATTTTTATAGTAGTTTGGGAAGTGATGTTTGAATAGCACATTCAAGTAGACTGCTGGGAGGAAGGAGAAACACTCATGAACAACTGATTTTATCTTAGGAAACTGAGTCAAGAAGAGTATGAGCGGCAAGAAAGAGAGCAGAGGCTGTCAGCTGCAGATGAGAAGGCCGTTTTGGCTGCAGAGGAAGTAAAAACTTACAAGTGAGTTCAGCTTCTAAAGAAGGTGTTAGTTGCTAATGAAACTCGTGTTGGCTTTTTTAAACCATTTTTACATTGTGTAGAATAGCACAGAAGCATAAATAAAGGGTCAGAGGACATGATGACATGGAATTCACACAAGAGAAAAACTAAATTTTAAGTTAGCAAATGAAAAAAATGTTAACAAAAACTTACTTATACCTAATCCCAGCAAGACTGCAACTGATTCATGCAAACAGTTCTGGGGAATAGGGGCTAGTACACTGTAGTACTTCTTTAAGAAAGCCGTTTGGGCTGGGCTCGGTGGCTCAGCCTGTAATCCCGCGCTTTGGGAGGCTGAGGTGAGTGGATTGCCTGAGCCTGTGGGTTCGAGACCCGCCTGGGCAACTTGGCGAGGTTTCATCTCTACAATAAATCAAAAAATTAGCTGGGCGTGGTAGAGCGTGCCTGTAGTTCCAGCTACTAGGAAGGTTGAGGTGGAAGGATCGTCGGAGCCCAGCAGGTCGAGCCTGCAGTGGCCGGGAGTGGCCACTGCACTCCAGTCTGGGCGACAGAGTGAGACTCCAACTCAATAAAAAATAAAAATAAAAAAAGAAAGCTGTTTGTTGTAAGATATATCAAAACCATTAAAATGATTGTGCCATTTAATAGACCCAGTATTCCTAACTCTGGGAAATTTTCTGTGATACAATTAAAGGTAGAAAAAAGCTTCAGAGAGGAAGATATTCATAACAGGATTAATTGAGAACATATTGAAGAACAGTTAAGGAAATCATAATTTATCAACTCAGAATCTCCAGCCATTAAATTATAAGCAAGGAAATTATATAGTATTAGTTTTCATCATATTGTACTCTTCTTGTAACCATTATGTTTTTATATTTATGGATTAAGCCTTTTAGGGTACAGTTATTAGATTTAAAGGTAACATAGGTTTTTTTGAGATTTCATTCAGTTATGCTTCAAATGATAAAACCAAGTATAATTCTTAGGCGGAGAATTGAAGAAATGGAGGAAGAATTACAGAAAACAGAACGCTCATTTAAAAACCAGGTAATAATTATAGCGCTCTACAGTTGCACAATTTTTGGATAACTATTACAGACTATATTATTATGGTTATGATAATGACTCACTAAACAAATTTTTTGGTGTATTTTTTTTCAGATTGCTACTCATGAAAAGAAAGCTCATGATAACTGGGTAAGAATATTTTTTCTTTCCTTTATTTTGTACATAGTCTACCACAGCTAAATTTGGATACTTCTTCTCCCATAGCTCAAAGCTCGTGCTGCAGAAAGAGCTATAGTTGAAGAGAAAAGGGAAGCTGCCAATTTAAGACACAAGTATGTCATTTTTGAGACCTATATTTCCAGTTCATTTTAGAGTTTTTAAAGGCTATATGCGATGTGGCATTCAATAAAGAATTGATTTCGGCTTCATATTTAAGTACATTCTTTCTCTATGTTCAAGATTATCAGAAATAAGGCAAAAGATGGCAATGCTGCAAGAAGAACCTGTGATTGTAAAACCAATGCCAGGAAGACCAAATACCCAAAACCCTCCACGGAGAGGTAAGGGAGCACTTTGTAAAGAACAGCAATCTCTTTTTTTGGTGCAGAATATATATAAATTACTTTTTATTTCTGTAATAGTTATGCTGCCCTAGAAATAATCCCAAGAACTTAATGTAAAAAAAAAAAAAAAGGCTGTCTTAAAGTGGTAACAAGACACTGTCATCTTCAGGTCCTCTGAGCCAGAATGGCTCTTTTGGTCCATCACCTGTGAGTGGTGGCGAATGCTCCCCTCCACTGACAGTGGAGCCACCTGTGAGACCTCGTTCTGCTACTCTCAGTCGAAGAGATATGCCTAGGAATGAATTTGGTGAGCATTCATATGTTACCTTGTAATACTGTTTCAAAGGGGTTTTTTTTCCTTTTAAGAATTTTAATGCAAACATTTTAGAATTTGGGTCTATCTAGTATAGAGAAGAAACTTTTGTAATTTGTCTTGGTGGATAAGTAGTCTACTACAGGATCTGCTTTAGAAAAGAAAGCATTCTTCTGGAGGTTCTTTTACCGGTTTTTAAAAAAAATTTTTATTGCGAATTATAAGCCCTTATCTTTAAATTAGACTTCTATAGCATTCCTCTCCCAAATACAGTTGACCCTTGAACAACATGGGTTTGAACTGTAGATATATGCAGATTTTTTTCAATACACATATTGGAAATTTTTTTGGAAATTTACAGCAATTTGAAAAAACTCACTGCATAGCCCAGGAATATCAAAAAAATTAAGAAAAAGGTATGTCACTCAAGCATATATGTAGATACTAATCTATTTTATCCTTTACTATCATAAAATATATACAAATCTATTATAAAAAGTTAAAGTATATTAAAACTTATGTACAAGCCGGGCTCGGTGGCTCAGCCTGTAATCCCGCGCCTTTGGGAGGCTGAGATGAGTGGATTGCCTGAGCCCGCGGGTTTGAGACCCGCCTGGGCAGCGAGACCTCATCTCTACAATAAATCAAAAAATCAGCCGGGCGTGGTAGCGTGCGCCTGTAATTCCGGCTACTCGGAAGGCTGAGGCAGAAGGATCGCCGGAGCCCAGCAGGCCGAGGCTGTGGTGGCCAGGAGCGGCCACTGCACTCCAGTCTGGGCGACCGAGTGAGACTCCAACTCAAAAAAAAACTTATGTACAAAAACAAAGATTGTACAGGACGCCATTCATAGTTGAGATAAATGTAAACAAGTATAAAGATGCAGTATAAAATCATAACTGCATGACGTTAGCTATAGTACATACTGTACTATGAGAATTGCTTAGGCACCTCTTATTGCTGTTTGGTGAGCTCTGCTTCAGAACTCTGTGATGCTAATCATCTCTGAGTAGTCTGTCTCTCCAGTACATTGTGTATCACAAAAGAAGTGATCTCTCATGGTACTCATGTATTTTTCATGTTTAGTACAATAACATAAACCTAGAATAACACTACTGGACCCATATGAAGTGCCACTAGTGATGCTGGAAGTGCTCTTAAGAAGCAGAAATGTCATGGCATTACAGGAAAAAGTTTCATTGCTTGATAAGTATTGTAGATTGAGGTCTGCAGTTGTGACTGCCACTATTTCAGACAGATGGTTTATTTTGCAAACAGACCATGAAAATTTACACTATAGGGAAATACAGGACTATAAATGTATTTTCTCTTCCTTATGATTTTAATACTTTTTTGTCTCTAGTTTACTTTAAGAATACAGTATATAATATATATATAATATACAAAATATGTGTCCATTGATGTTATCAGTAAGATTTCCAGTCAACAGTATTGGTAGTTAAAGTTTTGGAGAATTAAGTTACACGTGGATTTTCAACTGCATGGGGCATTGGTGTGCCTAACCCCTTTGTCCAAGGGTCAATTATATTATACAAGTAGCCTTAAAACTTTAACTTATGCAGCATACACCCATTTCTCATTACTATGATGTGAAATGCTGTATATCTATTTCAAATCCTAAATATGTCTTGGTAACATACGGAATTCAGATTAAATATAGACAAAAAAAAATTCAACCTATAGAATTAAGTGTATAGCTTGAGGTACAGAACCAGTGCAATAAATGTGCAGAGTTTATTATTGTTCTTACAAACCAAGGCAGTTCTTATTTTTAATTCTTTTAAGTTATACATAAATTAGAAATTATTTCTCCTCATGAATTGGGAGTCCTGTTTTTAAATGTTGCTTTCTAGGTGGAGTTGAATCCTGACTTGTCCAGTTGGTTTGTTTCTTCTGAAAAATGCACTAAAGCCTCTGTTAATTTCTTTCTCAAGGATCAATGGATGGGCCTCCAACTCGTCCTCGATGGTCATCTGAGGCACCTGGGAAACCCTCTGCTTCTGGTAAGGGGCCCTGAGTGTTCAAAGAGTCATAAACCATGAAGGCAGTGTGTGGAGGATTTTTAAAAACCTTCCTCACAGAGTATAAAAGTCAGTGTAAATAGTCTAAATTGGTTCTCTGACCTTTAACAGATCCAGGATCTGGTACAGCTGCCATGAGGAACAGCAGCTCAAGAAGCTCTTCCCCTACTAAGGTGATGGATGAAGGCAAGGTACATTCAGTCATTTTGAATTATAATTAGGTATTTCAGGAACATTCTCCTGCAGCACTCTCTCTTAGCCTCATCTCCTGTTTGTGTGTTCTGTTATATCTATACTCTCATTTATTTTTTAAAAAAGCAAACTGTTCTCCAAGAGCCTGAAGGTCCCTCAGTTCCCAGCATCACACCTTTGGCTGAGCATCCAGTAGCAGTAAGTACCCAGATGTTGAGGACTGAACTGGCCTTTTACTTGGTATACTTCTAGAAAGGATATGAGGAGCATGACACTAATCTTTGCTTTAAATTGCATGGCAACATTGATCTTTCTTTTGTCCTTGACTTGGGAGTGTTGCTGAAATCTGACTGCTTTATTGACTGATTTTTTTTAGTCTCCTCTTTCCTGTTTTGATTAAAGAATTATCCTATTTAGAGCATCTGCTGCAATTGTAATTAACTTTACAATATGAAAAGTTATCACTCCTTTGTGCTTTTGAGTGTAATGCTCTTAAGCAAAGTAAATTAATTATAAATAGCACAATTCATCGTTACATCTTTATGTGGAATTGTGCTATTTAAAAATATCTCCACTTGTATACTAGCCAGTACCTATTCTGAATGATCTGAAATTACCCATGGTAACAGAACAATGTTTACTGGAAGTGAAATCATGAATCATGAAAATCTGTAATTACCCATTGAGCCAGTTTCCAGCAATGTTCTTAAACTATGTCCACATAAGCTTATTCTCTTGTAACTTGTATAGCTGTTATAGCTGGTAAGTCCTCTCATCATACCTTACACAGTGCTTCCTACGTTGAAATCAAAATGAATTTAATTGTTTGGAGTTTCCAACCCAGCTTCCTATAGGAAACGACTAGTCAACATCTCATAGTAAGACAGTATTACTAGTGAATGAAGGTAAATATTAGAGCTGTGACATTGTCGTGGAAAATACTTTAAAGTTCCAGGGTAGGACTCCAGGATTACACATCTCTTGAGAGATCTTTTTATCCAAGGGTAACTTGGATAAGATCCAAGACCCCTTTGAAGTGGAAAACTTCAAAGAGAGCAGAGACCCCTTTGTTAGACAGGAGGAGCAGAGGTGGAAAAAACATAGGCTTGGAGTCAAACCTGGTATTAAATTCCAGCTTGGCCTCTTACATGCTGTGTGACCCTCGGCAAATTATCTAATACTCTCTGTGCCTCTTTTCCTTCATATTTAGAACAAGATGGTCCTATTAGAGATTTAGAGATCTGAGAATTCAAGATAATATACATAAGGCCTATTGAAGTTACTCTGAATGGTAGCTATTATTACATGTGTAGAGAATAGATTTTTCATTCCTTTTCATTCTCTGCATTCTTAATATGGACATTGTGATCTACTCTGATGGAAAGGTTGTGTGGAGGGAGGGACTGCCTTAGAAATAGATACCCTTTATGTTAGATAGGAATGATCTCCATGAATAATAACCTTTGACAGTCCACTTGCAGATACAAGCAGTAATATGATTACAGCGAAACTGTTTTTAACCTCTCTAAACTGTCAGTGGGAATGAATGGGAAGGGGTAGAGTTTTGTTGTGTTGATTCTGCTCTTTGGACAGGTGCCTGACATTTGCTTCATTGGGTTTTAGCTTTTATTGGTGTTGGTGCTTTTGTCTGTCATACTAAAGTATTTCAAAACTTTCATTACTTCTGCCTTGCAGGTTAATATGGCTGCAAAAGGCCCTCCCCCTTTCCCAGGAGTACCTCTGATGAGTCCCCCCGTGGGAGGCCCTCTACCACCACCCATTCGATACGGACCACCTCCTCAGCTCTGTGGACCTTTTGGGCCTCGGCCACATCCTCCACCATTTGGTACGTTGATCTCAACAGTAGTTATGGACTTGTAAAGCATAGTCATCTTTTCTCTCTATTTTTTGCTAAAACAGTTGCAGGACTTTGTAATGAAAGGATAAAACTGAATAAGCTTTAACTTATCCTCAAGTTTCTTGGGACACAAAAAGTGCTGCATAATCTCCCTGTAAAGCCACGGGGAATAGTTATCTCTTATTAGACAAAGAAAGGAACTATTTATAGAAAGCCAGAAGTATTACTTGTGCAGATGTTTATTGAACATCCATAGCTATGTACCAGCCTCTGTAATGGATAGAGGGAGATAAGACATATTTCCTAACTTAAGATGTCCTGTAGGGCACAGATACACATATTCTGCAACATAAAGCTTCTAATCACCCATAATGGAACATAAGCAGTGGGTCACAGAATATTAAAATAGGAAAGATTAAACTCTAACTCACCTTGGAAATAGATGGGAGGAAGTTATTAAAGAGCAGGTAGAATTTACCAGCTATGTAATGAATGTAATGAATGTTGCTGAATTAGATGGAGCTGAAAGGCCTTTTCTAGCAGGGCAAACATCTTGATTTTGATGGCAGGTGTTTAGTCCATGCTAAACTACTGATGAATTTTTAGTTGATACAGTAGTAAACAATGGAATTTACCAAAGTTTCTTTGTGTAATGAAGCCCTATCTCATAATCTATCATCTTGGTATGGGATGTAATACTTCCAAGTACAAATTGAGCTCTTATGAGATAAAGATGACAAAATTGTGTAACAGAAAAACACAAGTCTGGAGATAGGTCGAGCCATGTTTAAATCCTGCTTATATTGCTTTGTGTCAGTCTGCCTCATCTATAAAGTCACTTGACTTTTTAGGGTTGTGAGAAATTAAAGACTATATTGATACACTTGGATTCATCTTAATTTAGATATGTTCCCAGGAATTTACATGACTGAATTTTTGTTTTTCAGGTCCTGGTATGCGTCCACCAGTAGGCTTAAGAGAATTTGCACCAGGCATTCCACCTGGAAAACGGGACCTGCCTCTTGACCCTCGGGAATTCTTACCAGGGCACACACCATTTAGACCTTTAGGTCCTCTTGGCCCAAGAGAGTACTTTATTCCTGGTACCCGATTACCACCCCCAACCCATGGTCCCCTGGATTACCCACCACCACCTGCTGCCAGAGACTTATTACCTGCAGGCTCTAGAGATGAGCCTCCACCTGCTTCTCAGAGCAGTAGCCAGAACTGTTCACAGGCTTTAAAACTGAGCCCGTAATTTTGACCTCTGACATTTAGTTGGAGAGGAAGTGGACTGTGCACTATTCATTACAGTAAATGATTTCATTGGCTTCAAAATCCAAAAGTTTATTTTAAAAGGTTTGTTTTTAAGTCTAAGCTGCCTTGGCAGTATGCATTTTTGAGCCAAACAATTAAAAAATATAATTTCTTCTACAGAAAAATCACCTCTTAAGCTAGAGCATCCTTACAACTTTGAAATGTGCAATAAGGAATACCTGTGTTTTAGCGAATGTAGCATATGTAATTGCTAAGTGATTTAAAATGTCATGAAAGATATGAACATTTCCTGTGGAAATGCTTTAAGAACATGTGTTTCCATTATCCTATTTTTAGTGTACACCAGCTGAATACAGAGCAATGGTGTTTATAAGCTTAATTTGTTTTTTAAATATTTGGTCGCAAAGACTGTTACGCTAAAAATGTTTACTAAAAGATCACTAGACTTTATCTCCCCTCTTGCTGAAGTTCTTTGTAGTAATAGTTCATAAAAATTTGTTTATTAATATTTCCCAAGTGTCTGTTGATTCATTGTATTGTTAAGACCTGATGCCATTGGGGAAACATGGACTGAAGATGGGGCTTGGCAGCACTCTGTTCTCACAGCTATGTCACCTGTCACCAACTTTGTCATCTGTGAACTCTGCAAGTGATTTCTTCTTTTTATTTCAAAGAAGTCAGTGGTCCCACTTGTGGAGAATTCATGTACTTTCTGATGATTCTCAGTGACTATTTGAGCTTGGCTTTCTGAGAGTGAGTTTACATTAATAGCAAGGGTTGTTTGACCTGATGTTCTAATTGCTTTTACCATTCTTATTGTAAGGACACAAAACAAAAAATGAAAATGATATGTCATGACCATAAATGTACAGCCTTTTATCTTTACAATTTGACCTTGCCACTGATTTGCAAGGAACACAACGAAAGAAGAGTTTAACACCATGAGAAATAATTATTTAGGACCGTGAGGCTTATTAACATACCCTGTCAGCAACCAAGGACTGACTGAACTCAATTCTTTTTTTTTTTATAGATACTATTCCAAAATTCATATTTGAACATTGATACTTTTATTTAAAAATCAGTAAATCTTAAGTGTCTGGAATTGTACCATACTTAAAATCGCTTATTCATTACTGTGTCTTTAAACAGTTTCTTTAAAAAATAAAAATCATAATGTTTCTAAAATTAACTCTTCAGGCATTTTAGTTACAGTAATAATAGCACATTTTAAGGCATTTTAAGATCTAGATTAAATTAAAATGATAAAAGCTGATAATTTTGTTTACTGCTAGACTATATTCTTCCATTCTCTGATGTTTTATGATGTAATGATGTTATTGAAACCTAGAGCATGACTTGTCACTGTTGTTATTTAATCCATTAAGATTACCCTGTAAAAAGGAGCAAAAGCTTCAGTGTAAAACAATTATCTACTGAAAATAGCAGTTTAGAAGGATAAAGACCTTTAAAAGAAGAAAATCTAAGTTCATAAGGAATACATAAATTATTTAGGAAATGAGAATTCAGTCTACATGTCCTCCCATTTAATGCCAAGAATAGAAGAAATTAAGAGGAACACTCGGGCAACCTCCTCAGGTCCCCTCCCACTCTGGGAGCTTTGCTGTCCTCTCAAAAACCCTGCTTTCTAAAACAAAAAACAAAACAAAAAGAGGAACACTCCACAGAATAATAGCATAGACCATTTTTAACCATGGAAAATAAAATTAAGTCATAAACACAACTTTTGAATATATGTGTTAATTTCTTCAGGACATAAAAAAAGCTGAAGTTAATATTGTTTCTAATTGTAAACAGCACTTAAATGTGGATTTTGCCAGTTAGGAAGTTAAGTAGGAAAAGCAAATTAAACCTATTTTTAAAATTCAAGCCGGGCTCGGTGGCTCAGCCTGTAATCCCGTGCCTTTGGGAGGCTGAGGT